AGGTGGTCTTGACCCCAACGCATCTGGCTATTGTAATGGAATATGCTGCAGGTGGAGAGCTCTTTGAGAGGATTTGCAACGCTGGACGGTTTAGTGAAGATGAGGTATTAAGACAATTTCTTGCCAGCCCATTTTTGCCTCAGTTATGAAATCATGAAGACCATATTAGTCTTATGTGTTGAATTTTGGGGTGTGGATTACAATATTTCCAGTCAAGGTACTTCTTCCAGCAGCTCATTTCTGGCGTCAGCTACTGCCATTCCATGGTAAGAGAAATCTAGCACACAAGTAGGCCTGAATATGAAAAGTTTGAATTTGCATAAATTTTTAAACTGTAGATCTTGTTCCTTGTAGTAATATTTTCCTGATAATCTTTTGATATGTAGCAAATATGCCATCGTGACTTGAAACTGGAGAATACTCTTCTGGACGGAAGCCCGGCCCCACGCCTGAAAATATGCGATTTTGGTTACTCAAAGGTCGTGCACAATAGAGAAAGGATATTTAGGTGTATCCGCTGTTTAAGAATGTTTTTTTGCACAAACTAGCATATGCTTACCTAGCTACATTCTTTATTTCTCATTTTTAGTCATCTCTGCTTCATTCAAGGCCCAAATCAACAGTCGGCACACCTGCATATATTGCTCCCGAGGTTCTATCTCGGAGAGAATATGATGGAAAGGTAACATTTGTAATTAGCTATAAGTTGCTGGTGTAGAAATTCAACTTGCTTTATCTTATATCCTGTTTCCTTGTTTACATGTTCTTTTAATAAATATGTTATGCATCTTACTTTACCTGGTTTGTGTGAGTACTCTTTTTGGCTTCATTTTACTTCCTTGCTGCAGTATGTTGTACCTTCCTTTTGATGTATTTACGCAAAGACATGTATGTAAAATTAAAATACAGATATTTTTGCCTATGCATATATTTTGAACTGTGATTGCCATTTTTCCAGTTAGCTGATGTTTGGTCATGCGGTGTGACACTTTATGTTATGCTGGTCGGTGCATATCCTTTTGAAGATCAAGAGGATCCAAAGAACTTTAGGAAAACCATCCAAGTAAGCCTTCTATCGTGATACTTTTTTATTCATGAAGCATTTGGTTTGTGTATATGTCGATTATAGTGTCTGCTATTACTAAGTCCATCCTTCACATATGCTATGGTGATCTTTGGCAGAGGATAATGACTGTTCAATACAAGTTTCCCGATTATGTTCACATATCCCAAGATTGTAGGCACCTCCTCTCTCGCATATTTATGGCCAATTCATCCCGGGTACATTACGCTCTCTGATTTTAGCTTTGCTATATATCTTGATATATTTGCAGTAATTTACTTTTGCTTTTGTTTCCATTCAATTTAAGATTAAAACGATTAGTCATTTCTCATTTCACTTTCATACAAGATTAAATTGAAAATGGTTCTGTTAAAAAATATTGTCGGTACCCCCTCGAAATTTGTTACTATATTACACATTAGGCCTCAATAGGAGGAGAGGTATTTGTTAAGGGTGTGTTTGTATATAAAATAACTCAATTCATACTTAAAATCTAACTCAACTTTAACTCAACTCCACTCTCTTTAATATTATCAATATAATTAAATAATATCGATCAGTCATTCTTACACATCACATCAACTTTAATTCACTATTCATCAACTCACATAATTTTAACTAACCACCAATTCACATCATTTCTCTCAAACTCTTACATCAAATCAACTTTTAATTATTTAATTTTAAATATTATTTTAATATAAATTCAAAATTCCACTGAGAACAAACTATACCACCTTTTTCAAAATTAGGCATGGTTTATAAAAAAAAACTCGGTTTGATTGACCGGAAATATTTGCAGTATTCAAACATGCCCTAAGAATGTATGAAACCTTGTAATTCTGAAGATAATCGAGTTTCTATACCAAATCTCTTCTTGTTATGCATAATTCTGAAGATAATCGAATTTCTCTTGTTATGCAAAGTGTATAACAACGTGATTAATCATATCCTATTTTGGTGCAGAGGATTACAATCAAAGATATAAAATCACACCCGTGGTTTCTCAAGAATCTACCCCGCGAATTAACCGATATGGCCCAAGCACAGTACTACCGAAAGGAAAATCCCACGTTTTCCCTCCAAACTGTGGAGGAGATTATGAAAATCGTGGAGGAGGCCAAAACCCCTCCTCCAGTCTCCCGCTCGGTTGGAGGCTTCGGGTGGGGAGGGGAAGAGGATGAGGAGAAAGAGGATGTTGCAGAGGATGAGGTGGACGAGGAAGAGGATGACGAGGATGAGTACGATAAGCAAGTTAAGGCAGCTCATGCGAGTGGGGAAGTTCGTCTCACTTGAAGGGGGGAAAAAAATATTTTCTTGCCTGCGTGTAAAGTTTATGAACTTCATTTGATGCTTTGGTGGTGGTGTTAGAACTTCTTGGTGTGTAAATTCTTAGTGATGGTTATGGGAGACTTTTGGGAGTGTGTGTTTATGTGGAAAAATCTGAGTTAAGTCTTAGTAGTTTGAGGTTTTGTCCGGAGGTTGTGTTTTTCTGGGTCGAACTCTGCCGTGTTCATTTGAATGTGAATTTGAAGTTTATGTGCCTTCTCAGCTTGTGTGGTTTGGAGTGCCTGATTTTCATTTTGCAAGTGATGATGTGAGTTCATAACAAGACAAAATGGTTGGACTGTGAAGTATATAAGTCTTGATGTTGTTTTAGCTGCATTCCACGTTTGTTTTGTTGTCGGCAACACATCATTTCACGAGAGATCTTTTCATGTATGCATCAACCATTTGTGCCATATGTACATAATTATAGATAAAAAAATATATGAAATGGATCAACTGATATTTTTTTATTTTTTTTATTTTTTATTTTTTATTTTTAATTTTTTTACGAAGAAAACACTCGGGAATGGTGGTTATTAAAGCCTGATTCGCAATCTGTAAATAGTCAAGCCCCTAATTGGGTCGAAAATATCACAAGTTTACAAAAGTCAAACAAAAAGCGAAAACTAAAATGAAAAGAAGAAAAAAAAAAACAACCAAAACGAAAATTTTGAACCTGGGCTGACAGGTGCCCAAACAAACAGTTTGCACCACAAAGTGGGCCAAAACACAAATTACTAAACAAGCTACTAGAATCTGAAAGAGGGGTAGCCAAGCTGGTCCATTCACACAAGAGTACGAAGGCAGAGAGGGGCGTTGTCTAGGTGGAAATTGTGCCTCTGGGGAGTGGAGGCACCGAGGCTGGCCAGGAAGTCAACAGTTCGGTTCCCCTCGCGGTGGATTTAATGTGCATGAATGAGTGTTGTATCTGCCACGAGCCTTGGTGGCCCGAGGTCAAGAGGGTGGCGACGGCGGCACCATCCAGCTCAATCCAAATGTGAGTAGAGATAGAGGCTACAATTTGAAGACCGATCTGGAGCGCCTGAACCTCCGCGTCGTAGCTCGAGGAGGCATGAAGAGGGGTGTGGAAAGCGGTAATGAGAGCTACGATGTGATCCCAAAATCAGGCCCCCGCCTCCGCACGACTCCGGTAAGTTGGTCGAAAGATCTATTGGTGTTCAGCTTAACCCAAGGAGAGTAGGGTCTCAGCCATGCTGAACAGGCGGCAACGGAGACGACACGAAACATGGGGCGCCGTGCAGCCTGTTCAGTCTCTAGGCGTGAGTCTACCTAGAGCTGTGAGGAGGGAGAGATGTCGATCAACCTGCAAAACAATGTCGCACTATTCATCTATGTCCAAATGAACTACAGGATCAGATAAGGAATGAGTAAGCTCACGTGTCTAAAGTGTGTGTGCTGTGAGAAAAAATCTCAAGAGTACAAAGAAATTGTCTCTAGTGGGTAGGGGATATGAGTATACATGGCAAAATGCTCCCACACTCTCCTCGCAACCTCGCCCTCTAAAAAAACATGGAAAAATGTCTCAATATGGAAATCACTCGTCTGTGCAAAATAGTAACATCACGAGGGAAAGAACCCCACTCGCCTGCAACACAGATTCAATTGAAATTCGGAGCAGAATAAGGTGCCAAAGGAATACAGAGATGGTAGGAGTATACAAGTCAGTCCAAATGGTCTCGAAGAGAAAGTTAGGCCGGTCACCCAGTCGTACTTCCCCCAAAGCCGAGGTCGTAGAGAATACACCCGAAGAAGTAAGTCTCCACCTTATACCGTCTGAACTGTCATTCGAGATGGGATTTGCTGGATGTGCTTTAATAACTGGTCACTAAAACCCTCTTTAGTACCCAACTCCCTCTCTAACTTATCCCTATCCCACGTCTCATCGATCCATAGGTCCTTCACCCGCAGGTAAGGAAAGTGAGTGACCTGCCTAGTGCTCGAAAAGGCCCCTCACCAATCCACCACTCGTCCCAAAAGCTGACTTCACTCTCTCCCAAAGTTTGAAAGAAGTGCTCCTAGATACGCCTACCTACTGTGGTGAGCCGCCTCCATTGTCTACTATCATGAGCGGTGGCCGTCACCCTACAGGGGCGACAGACGCCTCTAGGGCAGTACTTGCAGCGACAGTACTGAGGCCAAAATGAATTTTCCTCCCTGAAGCGCCACCACATCATATAAGAGAAGGTGGTGACAACGTTCGATAAACGGCGGATCCTAAGGTCACCCTTAGAGAAAGGACGATAAACAGAGTCCCACTTCACCTAGCGGAACTGTCTCCCCCTCCGGAAGCCTTTCCCGTGTCCCTAGAAAAAACGGGCATGATCTGATCTAGCTCGTGGAGAGTGGATCTAGGGGGATCGAGGACTAAAAAGAGATGAATCGGAAGGGCATTGAGGGTACTTTTGATTAGCGCGAGCTGACCCCCAAAAGAAATATGTCTATGCGACCAGCTGTAGATCCGGCCGATCATCCTCTGCTTGATGTCTACAAAGAGCGCTCTCGTGAGATGGTCTTTGTATAGAGGGGCGTCGAGGTAGGTGATGGGAAGGTCGCCGCGCGCGAAGCCCGTACGTTCGTGGACCCGCTGCGCCCCACTGGTCCACAATAGAAGGGGAGAGGATGAAGGTGCCTTTTGCACACTGACGAGCTGACCTGTGACTGAGCTATAGTACTGCAGAAGGTGCATAAGCTTGACTAGTCCATCATCATCCGCACGAGTGAAGATAATGATGTTATCCGCATAAGAGAGGTGTGAGATGGGAGGACCATAGCCCCGAGTGCTGTAGGTCATCCTCGGGGTATCGCAGATGAAGGCGTTAAGGCAACTAGAGAGGTAGTTTAACGCCAGAACAAAAAACGAGGGGGAGAGGGGGTCCCCCTGTCGGAGGCCCCGAGAAGAAAAGAAGAAGGTGGTGGGGCTGCCATTAACCCAAGCCGAGAATGTTAAGTGCTCCACACACGCCTTCACAAAACTAGCCCACCGCTTCGGGAAGGCCATCTAGACCAACACCTCCCTGAGATAGCACATAGTGTAGCTCGAGTAACCTGGTTGCGAGCAGGTCGAATAGTCGGTCCTAAAGTAGCTCACAATACAGGGGGACCGACAACTCGGACATTATTGGGGACTGATAGATCGGACATTACAAGATGTCGATAGCTCGAACATTATAAAAAATCGATAACTCAGATTGTACAAGGTGCTAGCAGCTTAGACATTGTAGGGTGCTAGTAGCTTGGACTTTATAGGGGATCGATAGCTCGGGCATTAGAGGATATCGATAGCTCGAATTGTACAGGGTGCTAGCAGCTTGTACAGTTTCGATAACTTGGACAATGCATGATGCCAGTAGCTCGGACAACATATGGTGTCAGTATCTCAGTAAGTCGGGGGACTTTTGATGATGGTCGACCAATGGATACTTAGTCTATGGGACTTGTAAAGGATGAAAGAGTAAGAAGACATGCAGAGGAATAATAAAAGGACCTGTTGTTGACAGGGGACACGTGTAGGGCTATATAGAAAAGATCCAAATAATATTATGAACGAAAATGGGTCTCAAATAGACATAGGGGTAGCCAAATAACCGTCGGGCAAGCCCTCGGGTAGTTTGGGCACTCGGGCAGGCCTTCAGGCAACCAGGTAGGGCAAAACTTGTGCTAGAAGTCAAGGATTCAATATAAATAGAAGATAAGTATGAAAGGTAAAAAAGTTAATCACACTATATGCACTCCAAGCTCTACAATACAATTTCATACAATTTTTCATAGCTATTTACTGATTTGATTGTCAAAAGTTTACACTGAGAACACCTTTCGGTGTCTATGTAAGTCTTCGGAGAGCAAACCGATTGAAGGATCATTAGAAGGCCTGATCGAAATGCAAGAGCATATTAGTTTGAATCTTAAATTTATATGTGAAATAGTGTCACCGAAAATATTTGAAATTATAAAATTTGTTATAGACAGGTCATACAAAATTTGTGATTGCATAAATAAAATTACAAATATTTATGTAATCAGATATCATGAAACTTGAAACAAAAAATCTTAATAATGTAACTGGGATTATATAGCCGAAGAAAAGTGAGAAAATACTGAAGTAATGTGAAAATGTATACCGTTGAAGTATCCTAAAAAATTGGTACTACAGTCTTATCATAAAGCGACCAATGACAATGAAACAAAAAAAGGGGCTCAATTTTACTTTAAAAAAAAAAGGGGAAATATGTTGAAAGAAAAAGGACACGATGAGGACCCCAAAAACTATTATTATATTTCGTACAAAGGTAAAAAAATGCAACGTGTCAACATAGTTTCTATATTAGTGGAAAGTATGCGGTGAATTGCCGCCTTCAGTCCTTAACTGACAAAGGCACACAGTCCCGCATTAATATCTTTTTCTTCTTGCTTTTTTCTTTGTCATTTGGTCTGATCAAGAGAGAAAATCTGAGACGGTGAGAGAAATTTACGCGTTTATTGAAGGAGAAGAAAGAAAAATCGATGGACATTTGAAATCAAGAAAAAAGAAGAAAAAAAATGGTCTTGTTCGGGGTTGAAGAAAGAGAAAGTCGGGATTCTGTTAGGGAGAGGGGCAACCAAGAAATGGTGACGAAAAGCGAAGATGGTGGTTTGGGCCCAAGTGGGTTGAGGCCGGAAATGGAGATTGACAAGGAAAATGGAGATTATTCTGAAAAAGATGAAGGCTTGGTGGGTGGCGAATGTGAAAATAGAATAACATTTGTGGGCGCTGGTGAAATTAGTGAAGAAGTTGGGGGTTACAACAAAGAATTGCCGCCGGCCGACGATGTTTGCCCGATCTGTTTCGATAGGTTTTCCATTCCCTGCAGATCAAATTGTGGTCACTGGTTTTGTGGTACTTGCATTTTTGCATTTTCTTTCCTGATTTCAAAGAACTGATTTTGCTCTGTCTCTGTTTTTTTTTTAATGCTTGGAGGGTTTGGCTTGAAGAAGGTGGTAACATGATNTTTTTTAATTTTGTTTTTCTGGCCGTTCGATTGTTTCTGTTGATAACTGGTGAACCTTGACATCGTGTTTGATTTTACAGTTTATTGGCTGTCGCATTTGAAGTCCTCAAATGATTCACTCTTCATTTACTGATTTTCTTCCTTGGAATTCTCTCTGTTATCTTCGATTACTTTTGTTCTGTTTTGGATTAGAAATTGTACATTGATAAATTGTGTGCTCTAGCATCTTCTTCCAAATGTATTTCCTTTGTTTTACACTTTTTTTTTTCTTTTTCGGGAATATATTTCAGTTTTCTCTTTGAGTTTTAGCACAGGTATTTAGACCCAACTCATTAATCATTTCTTTATTTGAATATTTTGCAGCAAACTGCATCTTGCAGTTTTGGATGTTGAAATCCTCGTTTGGGCCGTGCAAATGCCCCTTTTGCTATACTCAGATAATTAATCTCAAACCCGAAACATCTTCACCTACACAAACATCGGATGACGCCATTCAAGTCCTTAAGAAAGTGCATCAATATAACAGCCTCTACGTTAGTGGGCCTCTTGGCGTATTCCCCGTACGATATAAAATATCGGTGACTCTATATATATTTGTATTTCTTTTGGTTTTTTTTCCCATATCTTTGTTTTTTGTAAGGTTTGATTTTTCAAGTAAATGTTATGCAGTCATTGAATTCATGTTTTGATTTTCAATAGAAAATGTTTGAGTTAGCAGAAGTGGATCAAATCAAAACTACTCTGATAGAATATATATACATAACTATCTACAGGCTATATGTGTTTCAAGAATGACGTATAAGTTAATGAAAAACAAGAGAATGATCACATATCTTCCTATGTTCTATAAATTAATTAATTACAATTCTGTTTCTATGCCTTGGATTATGCCTTTTCTAAAGGCTTGTCATTTCGTGTTCGAAATATCCGACTGGGTTTGGTTATTTTCGCTGCATTTATATCGTGTGCAGTTATGATCATTGAAAGCTACTTGTCTTATAGATTTGGTTTAGCTTGATTTCTACTCTTGAGAACATGTGTTTATAATCTACATAATGTGAAAACTTGATTCATGATTCTATCTTGATTCTTTACAGAGACTACTAACTTTGCGACTCTTCATGCGGAGAGCATTGGATCCCGATGGCTTGAGATGCATCTATTATGGAATGCGGCTTCTTGGGGTAAAGTTTGATTGTTAGAGTTTGTCATCACTATTTGTGTTGTTCAATTGCTGCCTCTCTCTCTCTCTCTCTCACACACACACACACACTTTATGTTAGGGTGAACTGTATTTCAACGTATTTCATAGTTTTGTGATTTAGAAGCTAAGTTTTTCTATATATTCAATGACCAGTTTTCCCTTTCTCAGTTGTTGTTGGCTTTCGTGTACGAAAAATGGGAGTTTGAGTTTGTACCCACTGGTAAGTTTCTTACTTCTTTAATTCCTTTACCTTCAACATTGAAGAGAATTTTGCAAGACAAACACAGTAAATTTGAATTTTCGCAAATTAAAATAGCTATCGGCTTCTCGATGCAGGGGGGCTTGGGATTCAAAGGACGTTTGATTTGTGCGCTACTCTCCTAATTCTGACCCTCTTTTTCATAGGCTTAGGGTATAGGTTTGTGCTAAGGGGACGCGTGAGGCATATGGGTGTCATGTGAGCTTGGAATGTTTGAGCAACTGGTTGTTGTTAGGAAGGATACTGTTTTAGGTTTGCCACTCCATCTTTAGACGGCTTGTGGAATAAGTTTATGCCATAGCTTTAGATTTAATGACTTGATGATGTAAATAGATTGTTGTTCAAATTTCACTAGATTATGATCCCTCTCTCTTTTTTCATTGACATATATGCATGGAGAAAGAAAATAAGATTTTGGTGCTTTTAAGTCTAATCAACATTTTTTAAATCGTGGAATTGATGTTTCATGATCATTCTCCAAAATGGAAATACGGTCGGGCATTGGAACTTGACTGGATATATCCAGGTGCTGGTGCACTT